GGCGCGGGTCCGCGTGCAGGAGAGGAAGGGTCTTGGGGAAGATTTGCAGGGGTAACCCGCAACCGTGGGGAGGAGCTGCCCGAGCAACGTGGGTGCAAGGGCCGTGGGAAGGGTCGTCTGGAGCCTTCCAGGGTCTGCAGGAGCGGAGCCGGGCGGAAGGGCGGTCGGGCTGCATTGCTAAGGAGCCACACGCAGGGTCTGCGAAGGAAATCGGCGTTCCTGTAGTGGCAGAGGCCACGAGGCTGCAGGGATGATGGGGCATCTGGAGGGAGGTGGCGGTGCCTGGGAAGGGCTCCAGAGGTCAGAGGACATGGTAGCGAGGTCTGGAGAGGTGAGGAGAGCCCTTGGGCCCACAGACGGAGGTGAAGGGGACGAGCAGGAGTTGGGAGGGAGGGCTCAGCCGAAGCTAGGATGCAGAGTGGTCATTGAGATTTGGGGGGTGATCACATGGAGTTTGGGGAGATCTGTTCCGAGAGCACAAGGAACGTGATCCGTGCACTTTACGTGCCAACTTGTTTTCGGGTGCTCTAAGCAAGAGAGTGGCTGCTGGTCGCGATGCACATTATGTTCACCTAACCAAAGCTCAAGTGCTGGGATGCAGCCGGCACAAAATGCCACCGACACACAGAAGCTGTTGTACAGCCACTCCGCCGGGCTGGGTGCAGGACTGTCTGTCAGGCTCGAATTACCATATGCGCAGGTTATTTTAAGTTCTGAAGGTGTAAATGGCACAAGGGAATTTCTTGGAGCCGCCTAATAGGCCCTTAGAGTAAAGCTGTAAACAGCAGAGGTTCTAATGTGCGAGTTAGTCTTATATAAATGGAGTAAAAACAGCCCGGAGTTATATCTTTTGTCATCTGGCGAGCAGTTCTGACATCTGCCCCGTGAACACAATGACCTACTTAGCCATTGGAAGCATCTGTATCCTGATCATTAAATTGTTACATTATTAAATCACTACCTCGCAAATGGAGGGGTGTGCTGAGAAGAGACTGTTTGGTTTCATTCCTAGAAATGTGTTTGTTAAGAAACATCCTGAAAAGCTGCGGGCTGGTATGGGTGCCTTTGTGGGATGATTTGCAGTGCAGAATATTGCTGCCCAAGCTGGATGTATTCTACCTTGCTTGCCCAGCAGTAACACAGACAGTAAGTGCCTGTTGCTAAAATGAGAGCAGTTTGGGGGAGCATTTTTTGGTTCTTTTGCTGCTGCTTTTTTTCCCCCCTCTATGTTTTGCCACTATTAGATTTTAGGTGGGGAAGTGCACTCAGAGCCTCAGATTGTAGCATTTATTTCCCTGTTACTAGTTAATGCTTTGCCACCAGATTGTCAAGGGAAGGAAGTATTTCTAAGTGGTGGGTGGTTTTAGGTTTTACTATGGAGCACTTTACGTTTTGGCATGATGGAGTGTGGGAACAGCTCTGTCAATTTCCTGGGAGATTAAAAATACATGCCTGGGGGCCAGCATTTGAGGTGGTGGCTAAGGTGTTGTACTCCCACATGGTGGACTGCTGTTCAAGTCCGGATCTAGAGGCTTAAAAATGACACCAGTGTGTGTGCAT